ATATTATCAATTTGCAATCAGTTCAGATTTCTTCAGTGCTTGCTTTTTGGTTACAAAACTTCCAAACACCTTATTGCACTGAAAATTGAAACATCTTGAGAAAAGCCATGGAGATTGATAATCTGCCAAGGATATGAAATGGCTCTTCTTCCTGGACCATGACTGTGGTACAACTGATCCTGATACAGGAGAGAGACCTACCACAATTTTCTTTGTGTGTGCTTCTTGCAGCTCTTTGGGAGGATCTTGACCCAATAGTGTTCCCTACGCTATTTCTTGTGAAATGGTCTTGGCTATGTAGCAGCTTTTGATTCCGTAAATCCCCTAGGCTGCTGCCCCCATCCTGTCCTTATTTAGAACATTAAAAAGTTTCCTAGGGCACATGCTAGGTGAGAGCAGCATGAGAAGTCAGGGAAGAAAATTTAGCTGCTTTTAAAATAAGGCTGGACACATCAGCACCTGTCCAGCTATACCTACATGATGTTTCAAGAAATCAGCCTCTTTTTTCCATCTGGTATAAGGAGCTGGAAGACTAATTCAGATCTTCTGATGGCCTGAATCTTTGGGTCAAAGGGAAAGATCTCCAAATCTGAGACTATGTGTTAATTTTAGATGGATTTGTCAGCCTGAGATGACACTCTGCCAGCTTTGAGGGGACCCTGTTTTTATGATGCATGGCCAAGCTCTCTGCAAATGGAAATGCTTGCACTAGGTGTTGGGGATGTTTGCTACCTCCTTCTATCTTTGTGGTTTTGGTCCTCCCACTGTGGTAAGACCCCTGGCCATCATTGTGGCTTGTCATGTCAGCCCAGTGTCCACCTGGTCATGCTCTGAGGTACCATTGCCTCTGAAGCACAAGTTTTATTTCCTTCAATAAAAGAAGTTGAAAATATTTTACTTGGAAAAAAAAAAAGCCTGTAAACACTGAAGCACTATGTAAATGTAAGGGGCTATTATTATTCTTTTCCCAGTAACTGAAGTTTTCAGTGTTTCCTCTGAGCACTAGTACTAGTTTGAGACAAAAGAGTAAATGATTTCCAAAAACTGCAACTTATAAATTTCAAATGTATATTTTTCTGTACCAAAAAAACCCCTTATGATACATGAAAAATAAAAATAATTTCAGGTTTCAACTCAGTAGAAGATTGTGAAGGAAATGTCATTCTGGTAACCTAATACTTATGCTGAAACTCATTTTATGCAAGCTGTATACTACTAAGTATTAAGTCTCACGCCGCTATGCCGTGATGGAAAAACAAAAAGTAATTCCAAACAACAAGAAACAGGAATATTTCATTTGTATCCTACAGAAACCAATTGTCAAGAATCACTAAGAAGGCATACTTCACAGATTTCACTGGGTTTTATATCTGGAAGTACTGGCAATCATGCTGTCTAGTCCCCTCACTTTATAGATGAAGAAAAGGAGGACACAGCATGATTTGCCCGCAGTCAGACTGCTCAACAATGGTAGCCTTAATTCCCAAACTCTCCCACTAAACACACACCTTACGTTTGGGAGGTCAAGTAAATTTAACAAAAATTAGTGAGTTTTAAATGACAATAAAATAAACATTTCCTAAAGTGCTACATTAACAGCACATAAACAAAACAATTTAATTTTTAAATGAAGGACATAGTGAAACATCCAAACTTGCAAACATCAAAAACTTCCAAATTCGGGGGGGAGGACATAGCTCAAGTGGTAGAGGGCATGCTTAGCGTGCACGAGGTCCTGAGTTCAATCCCCAGCACCTCCCTCTAATTAATAAATAAATAAGTAAACCTAATTACCCCCCTGAAAAAACTTTCAAATTCATCTTTGATTATGTTTACTTTTATTTGCTCCTTGAAACTCAGCCTAAACTCAAGACTATTAAATACTGAGATTTTTCTTGGCAGCGTGCCAGGCAGAAACTTCTGCAGCATGCTATAATTTGTGTTTTGATAAACTTCAGCTGCTGACACTGAGATTCAGTTTTAAACTCCCATGTTATTTCTCACAACTAGGATTTTATCATTCATATTACCTTGAACCAGAGCTTATTTCCAAATTGCCACATATGTGATAAAGACAGATATTATGTGTTTTATAAATTTCACAAGTGTCCAGGCATGATGAACTGTCTACAGCAGCTTGTGTTATTCTGTAACACATTTGAGAACACAGACCACTGCAGAAGGAAGACACAAGGCGGGGGGACTTGTTCAATTTTCTCCAGGATAAAGAATCAAGTCGATAAAATACTGTTCTACTGGCATGGGTGACTTTTATAACTTTACCTTTAAATAACATTCTTTTTTCTGCAAAAGCGAAAACAGAATAAAACCTTATCTATTTTTTCAATTTAGAAAAGAGAAATGATTAAATGACTGAACATACCTTAAAGAAGCAACATAAATCATAGAGAGAATTTCTAGGACCCAAAAAGCCCCAGGCTAGGACAGGGCTGATGTGCTCACAGATGGCATAAAAATGGGCAAAAAATCCATCCGGGATCTGTTGGGACATAAAGGAGAATAGAGTTATTTTTATCTTCTTGCGTTTGCTTTCTTATTGATCATATGAACAGCTCCTTTTGAGGACAGACCAAGGGTTGATGATAAGCCAGCCTAATAAGAAAGTTAACAGACTTACAAGTAACTTTTAGAGTCACAGAATGCTTTGTGTAAATTTCATATCCTAGCCAACACTTTCATGTACTGAAAACATTATTTCTTCAAGGCATTTTCAACTCATGAAATACTTCATAAAAAAGCAAGCACATAAGTGCTATAATCAAGCAATAACAAGAATGCTACAATGTTCCTTAGCAGTATAATTTTTAGGATTAATGAGACTACCATGGTTTCAGCTAGCTTAGTAGAATTTAAGAAATTCTACTCAATTACTTCATTAGATTATCTGAAAAAGACTAAAATGAATTTTAAATGATTAAGCACAAAAATACACTTGCTAGAATCCTAACTTTTAGTTAAGGAACCAGATGTTACTGAAGCATTTAATTATATAATTGCCCCTTCTTGTGAAAGAGTAATACATACAGTTATGATTTAGAAAACTCATAGCTTATTAATAACTTTCTTAATTCCCCTTGTTAAATAGCATTCTGAGGGGCCTGTCGTATACTGTGTACTGGGGATAAGTGCGCCTTAAGATTCTGACTCTCGGAGGGGTTATTTTCTATTTTACAAGCTCCAAGACATCTTCTAAACCTCAATTAAAACATACATTATGGGGGAGAGGGGATAGCTCAGGGGTAGAGCACATGCTTAGCATGCATGAGGTCCTGGGTTCAATCCCCAGTCTCTCCATTAAAAACAAATAAATAAAAACCTAATTATCTACCCCCGCAAAACAAAATGCCTACAAGTCTGTTCCTTAGCCCTAAACCACTTGTTCCCTAGTGTTTGTCCAACGTCAGAGTTTCTAATCATCATCTGAGGATTTATTTATTTATTTTACTGAAGTATAGCCAGTTTACAATGTTGTGTCAGTTTTCTGGTGTACAGTATAATGTTTCAATCATACATGTACATACACATACTCCTTTTCATATTCTTTTCCATTATAAGTTACCACAAGATATTGAATACAGTTCCGTGTGCTATACAGCAGAAACTTTCGTTTATCTATTTTATATATAGTAATTAGTATCTGCAAATCCCAAACTCCCAATTTATCCCTTCCCACCCTCTTCCCTTGGTAACCATAAGTTTCTCTTCTATGTCTGTGAGTGTGTTTCTGTTTTATAAGTAAGTTCATTTGTATCATTTATTTAGCTTCTTGGGGAGCTTGTTTAAAACACAGGGTCCTTGGAATCACTTTTTAATACAATTTTAAAGGTTCCATTCCATTTACAGTTATTACAAATATTGGCTATATTCCCTGTGTTGTACAATCCATTTTTGTGTAACATCTTTTAAACAAGAATTATTCAAATATGTGGCCTTCAGAATTGTATTTAACAAGCACCTTCTGCAGATGCTGTGAGGACTATGCTGGGGAAACACTGCACTGGGCAATACTATCTCGAAGTAATAAGGATAAGACTTAGAAATATGGATATGCTAACATACTATATAGGTCAGTGGGCAAAAAATAATAACAACATTTGCATAATACACTATGCCAAGCACAGTCCTAAACATCTTATGTTTAATCCTCTAAAAACCCCATGAGGCAGGTATTATGCTCTTTTTTAGAGATGAGGAAACTAAAGCATAGAGAGGTTAAGGAACTTGCCCAAGGGCATGGCTGGTACGTGGCATGTGAAATCAGACAGTCTCACTCCAGAGTCCATGCCCCTTACCATAGGAGTGCACGGTGAGAGCAGGGTGCAGTGGGTGAGATAGGCCGGAGGGTCTGGAGCCTGGGGGCAGGACACAAACTCTGAGATGTTTTTTGGTAGGTGCTTGCAGTTGAATAAAGCAGCTAAGGTGGGAGGGTATAGCTCAAATGGTAGAGCATATGCCTAGCATGAATGAGGTCCTGGGTTCAGTTCCCAGTACCTCCAGTAAAAAAAAAAAATCTAATAATGAATAGAGCAGCTATAAGAATCAAATCATCATTTTTCGGTTGGGTTACATGAAGTGGAATCCACTATATTAAACAATTTTTTAATCTTAAAATATCATTAAATTAAAAAAAAAAGAACACCTCTACTAGAGCTGGTTCCAACTGCAGCCCACTCCCCTGTAGCAGGGAGCAGCAGAGCTCCCATGCATGCTCAGTACCTGTTACACTGAACTCTATAAAATGTCAAGAAGAGGGAGAAGGACTTCAAAACCAAGAAGCCACGCCAGTTCCAAGCAGGTCACTCATCTAGCTCAAGGTCGTGTGCCTTGTGGGCTGTGTCTCCACCTGAGAATGGACTCGGATGTTTCTTTGACAGGAGCCTCAAATTACTCTACAAGGACGCCCAACACATAATGAATTTTACCTTCATCTGTTGCCTTTTCTGTTTCAACACTGACCAACAACTTGAAGCCACAGCCTAAATGTATACAGAAGAGAAAAAGCAAGATTTAAATTTATTAACTATATAAACTTCCCATTTAGAAAACAGCGATTTTTATTAGAAAGTCAACATTTAAAGGTCTAAAATGTGTAAGACATTAACTACTAAAAAGAACTAGTCTATGTTCCTTCTGTTGTTTGTAAGCATTAATGAAAAGGTGTTTATAAATTTTAAAATTAAATACAAAGCCATTAGAAGAAAAAGGCTGAACTCCGGTGCCAAGAACTTGGTGATTATAGTTCAAACAGTATTTTTCTTCAGTAACAGTCCTGCTGGAAATAGTTGTGAGTAGACCCAATAGTTTCACTCAAATTAAGAAACAGAACCATAATGACAGGGACAAAAACACCCAAGCAGATTCTGAAGAAACCTGACCCCACTCTAGCAGGACCCAACTTTGATCAGGTCACTTTCCCAAATCAGTTACAGAAATGGAGAACATGTATCTTTTATGGTTAAAACATACTTTGAGGGAGAAGTGGATTTATTAAAAATGCTTCAAAGTACAATAGCAGGAATTTCCAAAGTAACTGTGAAATAGCAGACTGGAACATTTTTTAAACAGGCATTCAAACTTCATAATGAATCCCACCTACTCTGAGGTACACATTTCAGCCAAACAACAACAACAAAAGTTAGATTTGAACGTGAAACACAACAGAAGCTGAAAACATTCAAAATACAGAATATCGTTTACTCCTGTTTTATTTTCGCACATGCCCCTATTTTTTTCTGCCCTAATTTTTGGTAGTATTTGGGAATAAGAATCTGTATTTTCCTCCAAAAATAAGTATCGTTCTTTTCATTGAAACTGCTATATTGCAGTGTAGTCACAGAGCCATTTCAGTTACAGACAGTTTTTGGTTAGGCCTGAACTGGTACGAAGCCTGAGGGTTTTCTTCTGAAGAAATACTGGGTCCTTGGGGTGAAGGCAGGGACTGACAGAAGAGCCAAAAGGGAATTTTCTTT